AATAAGAGATATGTAGAGGTTTCTTTGACATAGATAGATGGGAATCATTAAATTGTTACCCTCTGGAGTAGGATAAAGACTTAAAATGAAGGTTATGTTATATTTTGCATGGAATTTCTTTATATGTATCTAGAAAATATTTTCAAAAAACTCAGTTCACTGTTTTGTAAACATACAAGTAAATCTATAACAGAATGAGTGAAGCAAAATAAATGTTGCATTCTGGAATGTCTGAGCCTTGACCTTTAACCCAACTGAAATGTTGAAGTGCTTGTACGAGCAGTTTATCCTGAACAGCCTAAAAATATCAATGAATTGAAATGGTGGTAAAAAGAGGTGGGCCAAAATTCTTCCAAGCCAATTTGCAGTATTGATTAACAGGCACAGGAAGCCTTTGATCGAAGCCATTTCTGCTAAAGGAGGTGCCACCATTATTATATTTATATCTAAAGCGTCACATACTTTTTCCAGCAAGGACAGTAAATGTTGGCTCAGACTGCTGAGTAAAGACGTGACACAGTGCAGTGTTTTAACAAGATTCTCTTTATCTATTAATAGGTCTTCAATGAAGTTCAGATCCCATTATAGGTCACAGTATAGGTTGTCCTAGCTTAACGACCACAACTGGGACTGGAATCTCAATCATTGAGTGAAGCAGTCATTAAGTGAGACACCCATGTGACTGCTTTGCAAACTAGGCACTCCCGGTTGCGGTTGTTAAGTGATCTCCCAGGTCGTTAAGTGGACGGAGCGAAAGAGCTGCTTGCTGAAGAATTTCAGCTCCACATAGAGCTGAAATCCTCCTGGCAGGCAGCCCTTTCACTCTCAAATGTTCCTGCAGCCTGCCAGAGGGCTTCCACTCCCCTCCATGCACGGAGCGGAAATCCTTTGTGGGGCTGCAGGAACGGAGCTGAAATCTTCAGGATTTCAGCTCCATTCCTGCAGCCCGCAGAAGGATTTCAGCTCCCCTCCATCCCCTCCACTTGCAACCTTCCCTGCTGGCTTCCCCATTGATTTTCTGGGGAATCTGCAGAGAAGATTGCAGATGGGAATGACATGATCGCGGGGCGCTTGGCAACTGGTCATAAACGCGAGCTGGTTGCCAAATGCCTGAAATGTGGTCACATGACCACGGTGGGCAGAGCAACATTTTACAATGGCTGCAAGTGCTTAATGGGCCGTAAAGCACCCTTTGTGAGGCTCTCGTAAATTTGAATGGTTGTTAAACGACCAATCTAAGTGGAGGACTACCTGTACTTCAGGGTTACAAATAGTTTTAAAGATCTCATAAACTCCTACAATATAGTAATGAATAAACCCTTTCAAAGTCTGGTGATGTTCTCATTTGGTAGGTATTCTAAAATTCCATTGTTTTGATTGTAATTCAAAAGCTTAGATTTTTTTTGTAAGATGTACTGTTTTGTTCAGCTATAATTTCAGTCTGTTATCAGTTACTGGGACATCGTTTAAAAACTTGATAAATTCTAAATCTAGCCCAATGCACCATGTTTTGGGGACCATTCATTGCACTTTAGATGTTTGCCTTGACACATTGATATGCTGCCCTCCCTCTGTGTATGAATTGTTGCCTTGGCTAGACTTCCTGCCAGGTGAACACCTACATGGGTGGGCAATTCTGTTGTGTGGATACCAAATGTATTGAACAGATCCAGTTGCTCTCATCACAGGTAAATTACCTATCTTTTTAGCAATCTGATTGAAAGGAACTTATAGCAGTTTTTCTTAATATAGCACCTTTAAAGTTCCATTTTATTGTCTCAATATAGACAAAGTTCTTTCATGATTGCCTGTGCCTGCAAATTAAGCTCTTCTACCCTCCTCTGAGTTACAAGATAGGTTGTATCAAATAAGGCACAACATTGTTTCTTAACAGCAAGATTGGTAAATCATAAGAACGATATAGGAAGGTCCCTGCTATATCACAGTATGTGTCACACACGTGTGGCCATACACATGAATCCAGAAAACTCACAAATGTGGACAGGAAGATAATAGACTTAAAATCTTAGGACTTTGCCAAATCTCACAAGATTGATTTTGCAAGATATTCTGGGCAAGAATGCCAAAATCTTGTAAGATTTCAAATGACATTATCAAAATATTGAGAGATGTGACAATCTTCTGAGACTGTAATACATTACTTATTTATTTGCATTGGGTACCTGCACCATAAATGAGCTATAGTACCTTTGTGGACCATAATCATCCCTGGCCCACAGATTGAGAACTGGTAGCCTAGTCTCCTTTAGACTCTTTAAAACAGTCTAAATCGGGACCGCATCTCATAGCAGGAAATTCCATAGTTTAAATATGCATTGTGTAAAATATTTCACAAGACCTCAAATTCCAGTTTTGGGGTGGGGGGAAGAGGGGGGTCTGTATTTTCTGTATCATGCATGATGTTATACATCTTTATCATGTCTCCCCTTAGTTACCTTCAGTCTAAATTAAAAAGCCCCAATGTAGTTATTCCTCATAAGGAACCTATTTCAGCCCCCTAATTAAATGCCCATTTGTATATTTATTTTGTACCTTTTCCAGCCTTTTTGCACCTTTTCAAGGTATGTCCACAACTGTGCACAGTATTCCTTTTTTCAATTTCAGATAGAAGGATGGATGGATAGCATTATTGTATTGATTTTTTTTTTTTTACATTTTTAGTTCCTTTCTTAATTCTGAACACAGGATTTGCCATTTTTAACAAGAGGTGCTCTCTATGTTGACACTTTTGTTGAGTTGTGCACCATGACTCCAGAATTCTTTTCCTGATCACTCATAGCAAGCTCAGCTCCCATTCATGGATGTTAAGTTTGGATGTTTTATACCTATCTGTTTTACTTTGTGCTTGCTTATATTGATTTGCTTTTGCCATTTTGAGGCCTATTTCCTCAGGAGAGATCCTTTTGGAGCTCTTCACAATACCGTTGCTATGATAAGGCACATCTTTGATGTCATTAGCAAACTGGATCACCTTACTCCTTAACTGCAGATTATTTATAAACTAGTTAAAAACACTGATCCTACCATCAGTCCCTGAGGATTTCACTTTGCACCTCTCTCTAAAGTGGAAATTGTCTACTTATTTCTACTCTGTTTCCTATTCTTAAGTCAGTTTCCAATCATATGAACATATGCCTTTTTATCCCCGGCTTCCAAGTTTGCTCAAGAACCTATGTTAAGGGACATTGTAAAAGGTGCACACAGTGTCTGTTGGATTTCCTCATCTACATTTTTGTTAATATTGTCAAAAAAGTCTAGAAGATTAGTTTAGGAATAGGTAATATGTGATCCTCTAGATGCTGCTGTGTTACAACTTCTATTTGCCTTAGTCAGCATAGCCAGTGGAGAAAGATGCTGACAACTGCAATTTAGCACCATCTGGAGAGCCACATGTTGTTCACTGATATATTCAGTTATTGATGTGAACATTGGTTTAGCTCTACTAAAGGAGGAGACTGAGATCCTGGATTGGGTGCTGCCAATCAACCCAGGTGATCCTCATCTATCTGGCATGTAAACTGACTCTGTGCAGTAGCTTCCTGTTTCCTTGGCAAGAGTATCTTGCTTTCTCTCTTGAGGCCTATTTTCAGGAGTGTTTTCACTGCAAAGAACTCCTGTTAAACTTGGTGCAAATATGTTCAAAACAAAACCTTAGGCTCCACAGTCTAAGCTTTTAAAATCTCTCTCTTCCAGGTCAAGAGTAATCTGAATCCCAATGCAAAGGAGTTTGTTCCTGGGGTGAAGTACTAAATATATGAGTAGACTGGGTCCTCTTTTGGTGGATGTAGCACAATTTCCACACTGTGAAGCCAGTATTAGAAGATTTAATTGTTAAAATGCTCTCTCTTCTTGTCACTGTGTTACACTTACGCATTGCCAAAGTTTTGTTAGTCTTGCATGCTTAATAAAAGTGCTGAGACTGTTATTAAGTCAACTGCTGTCAGAGGTTAATGAATTGGAAAAATCTAATTGGACCCAGGCTTTTTGTGAAGGAGACAGTGAGGTAGGAAGCACCAGTCATGTTGAGAAAAGTACCAAGTTTCTGAGAAACTCTTGCAATTCTGCTTTTAGAAGGATTCAGACTTTGATAAAGAGTGGTCTGTTTTAATTAAAACAAGAGTCGGTGTTGATATGCACCCGATAATGCCTTAATGTGAAAATAAAAGCAAGGTTTATCTGATTATGCAGATTAGCTGAATTTCAGTACTGCTATTAATTCTTCCCATTATCAAGCAAAACTTTACTTCACGCTGTTCTTTTTTGAGGAAAGTGTGAATTGTAAAAATACCTGAATCACTTTTACAGGCCTGTACAGAATCCTTTCTCTTGGCTACAGATCTGGTAGAGGGGGGAGAAAACTTGGCAATTGAGATTATATTTACAGCAAGTTATCATGTTGGAATGTTTGTCCCACTTCTGAGTTTATATTTAAAGTGATGTGAAGTTGTACATCACAGATTCTTCCAGGAATCCAGAAACATGGCACTGCCTCTGTAAAATTTTACAATCTTAAGAATTGGGTTTAACTGTAAAACTTTAGCATTAGTGATTTGAGTGGTGCTTTTCCCTTGCTTTGTTTAATCATCACTACACAATAGTCTACAGCACAACTTTTTTTTAATACACCTAGTACAGTTTTGGCTTCTTAAACTTCATATTTGGGTAGCTTATGCTGCCGTATGTGTTCAGTGTGAATAGTGTTTAAGTTGAAAATATTGTAAAAAAATTATATTTTTTCAAAAATATTTAAAAAAAATAAATAATAGTAGAAATGACAAAATGAGTGTTCATCTTATTTGGAGCCTGTGGGAATGCCTTGTTGTAATGTGTGAACCCAACCAATATAAACCCAACCTCTGCCATAAAAGCTGGAAATAATGAAAAATGCATTCTCAGGAATTATCAGAAATAATCTAAATGGCATTCTTGTCAGAGAAAGGGAGACCTCTTTAAAAGAAGCAAATTGAAGGAGGAGTGAGTAGGTATTCATTTTGTCCCTTTATTTAATATCCTGCTTAGTTTTTATACAGTACTACATGCCATAAATATGGAAGCTTTTTAAAATGAAATTGTTGCCCCTTGATACTGAAAGTGGCTGTACTCTTGCAAGGTGCCAATGAAACAATAACATCAGTGGTGCAGGCATTCAAGACTAGATGCAGAATAACAGGAATGTTTGCTGTAAAAAAAAAGATGCCAGCATTTCAGGTAGACAACCACGAAGGCCAGCTAGCTGATTTATAAAAATCTGAACAGAGCTTGTAGTAGTTACTCTGGTATGTAATTTCTCAACACTGCTGCTCCTTTTCCACTTGTGGTTGCTTGTGTTAAGTGCCCTTGTTCAGTGACTTTTAGAAATGTACAGAATGTTTCATGCACAGGACAGCTGCTTTTGGGTTATCCAGGCCCAAACCTGCGTAGTTTGGAATATGTTAGTCTGTTCATGGAACAAAACAGCTGGTTTGTTTCAGATGTAGACCAAAAGAGAGTTCTTCTGGGCAAAAGCAGTTTGATGGGAAATGAACTGGAAAAACCAAGGACATTAGCAGTGGCTTAATGGGGAATTTTAAAATAGCAGTTATAGTCAACAATTGAAGACACTGTATTTTAATAATCTAAGCCACTCTTCCCTAACTTGCTGCCTTTCATCTGTTCTGAATTATAACTCCCTTCATGTACTATAGCACATTCCCGGTAGTCATGCAAGTGCAGGGAGCTGTAGTCCAAACAGTGGGGAGCATCAACTTGAAGAAGGCTGACCTTAAAAATTCCACATTTAGAAGCTGTATAGCTGTATTTTTTTTTTAAGTATGCACTTGACAAGTATACAGGAAAATATCTTTAGGTATAGGGGCTTGGGGCCCTCCACATATCACTGAATCTCAACCCTAGCCATCTTCCCACCATGCCAGTGGGGAGAGATGCTAAAAGGTTTAGCTTGGCAACACTTGGAGGGTCAGGTTTCCCATTTCCTCTTTTTACTACTGAACTACTCAATTCAGATTTCCTAAAATTTCAGCTTAGGCTTCAGCCTTTACTGGTTGTCTCTGTTAGCCAAAGATGTTAATGGTTGTAAAACACTCTTGAATGTTTGCACCATTTCACATGTGTGTACATAGAAAAAGAATTTGGTTCCTGGAATCAAATCTAGTTTATGTACTTGTGAAGAAAATCTTGATAGAGTGTTCTTCAGAATATGTGCCATCTATTAACATTCTAACAAAAGATTTCTCTGTGACTCACCAGAACAAAACAAATTACTGCTAAACCTCAATTTTATGGACCTTTGTTCAGCAGATTCTGAATGTGGTAGACAAAATTTTAGTTCAGACTTTATCCCAAGCAGTAGGCAAAATCTGTTGTTTCTGACGCAGTCCTCACAATTGACATAATTTGCTTCTTTACACAATTGACAGAAATGGACAGAAATAACACATGTCATAAATGCATAAAATTGGATTTTACAGACATTTGGTTTTTATGGACACTGTTGTACCCCCCCCCAAAAAAAACCCTGGTCAGTAAAATCAAGGTTTTACTTATATGTAAGTATGAATGAATGCTACATAATTAGAATTGACTGCAGTAATTTGACTCTGGATCATACATGATTAGCTCCATCAGATCTGGGCTGTAAAGATCTGGTTGACTACTAGATGGGAGCAAAGAAAGTTTTCTGTATCTTTTGCATCTGCCATCAGCTGGACTTTTGTAGCCCAGAACTGGTCATCTTAGAATAAATGTCTTCCAATTTCAAGCCATTATAGTACCTGTTTTCCTTCTAAACTCATACTGGGTGCTTACAAATCAAAATGAATAAAATTATTGCCTCTGAGTCAGTATGTTTTGACAGTGCCTAGGTGAACTCTTAATCACATTTTTCTAACAGAGAATAAGATATGTGAAAATAAAGTTCTTGAATAGCCACATGAATGTCCTCTGATGTGATTCAGTCATTGATCTTGACTGATCTGACACAGTTTCACTGGAATATTTCAAATACCCCTGAATTTTCCTGCAGTCTCTGTTGTTAACTTTTCATTATACTGTGGAGAGCTCCTTCAAACCTTGGTACACATTCCTGATGCATCCACTGTATTTGATACCTCTTCTGATATAGCAGGATCTTTCTTTGTTCTTGACTTAAAACCTTTGAAAACAGGGCACACTGGTACATACTTTAACCAGTGAGTCCTTTTAATCACACCCATCCCAAATGGAAAATCGTAGCTCTTCAGTTTTGCAGATTCGTCACTGTTGGCATGTGCTCCAGCCTTCCACTGTACTAAACCACGTTCCTCATGAGTCCCTAGGAAAGAGCATGTGTATTATAAATCAGGTAGATTTGGAACAAAGGTTTCAGTGATCCAGTTTCTTCACAAAAGAAAGCTCTGCTAATAATGGGATTAAAGAAAAGTAAAAGCTGAAATAACAAACTTTCCACGAAGGGCATGGTAGATTTGCCAGGCAGTATTAAAAGAAACTGAAGCCTCTGCTTTCTGCATCCAATCCCATAAATGAATCAGTTGGGTACTACATTTTGCAAATGGTTAATTAAAATCCTGGTAGAAAACACATAATTTGTTTTCAAAGTTTGCAATACGGTTTTGTCATGCAATGAAGAACTCTGTGGCAGGTGGGAAGTTCCTACCCTAAATTCCAGGGAGGTAGCCATCATGCCACAAAAACAACTTTGAATCTCCCCACCCCTTAAAAACTAATACCTTTATTGTGGCATTAGCTTTTGAAGACTGAGAGGCAATGGGTCCATGAAAATCCTTGCCATAATAAATTTGTTAGCCTTTTACAATGCCATGAGGTAATTACAATATTAAAAGGTAAATGTTGTGAGACAGGACCGCAAGAATCAGTTTTTAAGATGATATTCACTACATCCATCTTTGCAAAAACTGTAAGGCTATTGGAAGGTTAAAATGTTGGAAGTCATCTGCCTCCTAATATATCTGGAAAAGCAGAAACAAAAAAGAAATGGCTGTAAATGCTTTACCTGTACATCTAATTCAGTATTTCCTGCCACTGCCAGGTATGAAGCAGCATCTAGTATAGTAGCAGCACTGATGTGGTGAGCAGAAAACACCAAATAATCAAGTATAGAATATATTATTTTGGATGAATGTGGGGTTTCTCTAAGTCCTTTTGAAATATAAAATATAGGCTAAACTCTACAAAATAATATAATGAAATAGGTGTACCTGGAACAGTGTTGTCCAATATAAATGCAATGCTGCCCCCAACAAACATTTCTGTGGTTAAGAGCACTCTTAAGATCTGGTCCATTTCAGCGATGCCTACAAACAGTAATAATTTACAGTCCAAAATATGGTTGATATACTTCTGCACTTCTCAAATTTAACCTCGTTATACCCCTCACACTGTTCCCTTTCAGAATAAGAAATACTATGCAAAAGCACAAAAAAGAAGCAGTAAGCAAAAGATACTGAATGCAAGATATAAGTCCCAGGAAAAGGAATGGAAATATAGCTAAATCTGGTTTAGTCAAACACTATTCACTTCTTCATATCTTCCTGTCCTTATAAACCATCTGTGTTTCCACCATGTCCATATATCACTAAACCTCTTGTCTCTCTTTGAGGATTCCATCAATTCCATCTAACCACAACTTTGGGGGTCTTTCCCTTCCTCTTGACGCATTCACACTTCCAACATTTGTTTTGGGATTTGATCCTCATTTATACACTTCATATGACCAAGCCACCACCACATATTCTTCTATCATTGTCATTCACTGTTGCATTCAGCACCCATTCTCTCATTTTACTACATGCGTGTCTTAGGTATCCCATTCCAACTGCACTTAGCTTTTATGTTCACCCAACATACCCGACTCTCTTCCATATACAGTGGGGCAAAAAAGTATTTAGTCAGCCAATTGTGCAAGTTCTCCCACTTAAAAA